TTGTCTAATTTGAATTATATACTAGTACATATTGTAAACTATCAAATAAAAATATTAACATACTAAATTCGTAATGAAATGTCTGAAATATTTGTAAAATATTAACAACCTCACAGGACTATATTACTATTTGTACCAGCCACAGACGTGCCAGAATGTCTAACCTTCTTCCGACATTCAGGCACGTCTTGGTACAAGCAAAGTTACAATCATGCCTTGTGCATCAGCATAGAACACACGTACCAAATTAGTATAAGTAGCTCATACAAAATGTAAACCTCAGTCAACCAGACTCAGTCAACCAGAGTCAGTCAATCCTCATTCGGTATTCATTCAGTATCCAGTAAACTCTCTAAAAATAACAACAACTATTATATTTTATTTATACGATGTAACCATGGTAAACTATTCATCATAGACAACAAATTTTGAAAAAAACTTTTAATAATTCACCAGATTTTACTTTCATACAAACATAATAATAATTTATTTCAGTAAATCACTCTAAATGGTGAAAACTCTGTGCGCTAGCAAAAGAAAACACCCACCACCAAAATTATTTTTACGAATGACAGAGAGGCATTGCTAAAAATACAGATCTAAAAACTGTAAGATATTACAACAAGAATTAAGAAGTTTGTTTTTGGGAAATTTGTTTTTTTTTAAAAGTTATGGAACAAAAGTTATTGTTTATAAAGTCAGAAATATAGTTGTCCAAGGTTGTTAGTATTTTCAACTACCCTCAGAGGCCTAACAGTTTACGTTGTGTCCTTATTTTGATTCCCGGTAGAACCAATTTAGGAAATGAATTTGTCTAATGTCTTGTTTGTATAATGTCTGGGTGTTCCGGAGCACTTCTGAGAACACCAACTACAGCACCAGCTCACAGTACAGGGAATTCCATTGTTTTAAGACCAGACAATTGGTGTGTTGGTCTGGTACATATTTTATAAATAACCCTAAAATGCCATTATTGTAATTAAAATTGTAAATATTGTTTACACAGAACAGGCTTAGACCAATGTGAAGGCAATATTAATCATTATCAAATTAATACCTGAACACTATGCCAATTTTTAGACCTGTTCTGTTTTTATTTTGTTTTTTGTTTCTATCTTTTTTTTCACAAAATTCGTTTTTTTCTTTTTCGAATTTTAGTTTCTTGTTCTTTTTTTTTCACAAAATTCAGTGAGAATAATATTAGTAAATAAATATGGCTGTTTACAAAAATAACAGAAAATACAGTTGGCGTAGTGTTCATTGGAAGTATTGGAATGCTCTAGGGCATGTATTGTCATCTTTGTAAAGGAGATATCCTTCTAATAAAGTAGTTCCTAAATTCTATTAACTCTTGACTTCAATCAAATTGATCTTTTTCCAATTTCAGGTTGAATACTTTATTAGCAAATTGTTTCATTATGAGATGAATTTTCATAACCATAAAGATTAAACAGTAACATACTTGTTACATTTGATTATGTGGTATTGAAAACAAGCCTTAGCAAGGTCTATTTACAATAATAAGTTTCTTACTATTATTAGGGTGGCTTCATTCGGGGCTTATGCAGTCGCTCATCACTGTGACCATCAACTGATCTATTGTGATCACCTCTAACTACTGGGGCTTATGCAGCCCCTCATCACTGTGACCATCAACTGATCTATTGTGATCACCACTAACTACAGTTCAGAGCAAAGGCCTACAGCATTAAAGACTTGAAGGACTTTCATGGCTCTGACAGTTTTTATGTCCTCTGGTGGTGGCCTGTGCCTTCCCAGTATGGAGCTTCATACGCCCTTCAGGGGGGCAGCATTGGGTGAGAAGAAGCATAGGAGTTTAATATTAAGTTTACTGATGATTTATCAGTATGGTTTATTACCATAATATTAAATTATTTTTGGGAAATTACTGCAAAAAGCAACTTTAAAGCAACATCCCAAATTAGCGTCATAGTACAAATATTAGATTTTTCTAGAACGAGAGTTCTAGAAAAGTGTTCTAGAAAATCAAATTCACTAAATACTAGTAATTACACGTGGTAAAAGTAATTCTCGCAAGGAGAAAGTGCAGAGTCCTCTCACGCGGCATGTACGAGGCAAGGTGCTGACAAATTTGCTAACCAATTCAGCCGAAAATTAGCGACAATAATCATCTATGTCGCAAACAATTACGGTAACAGAGCAATGCACTCAATTACAAAAATCTAGGACGAGTAAAATGACAACGCAAGGAGAAATAAATTCGTCATGCCGACAAACACTCAACCATAATTGATCAATTCTAATTAAGTGCCTTGCCCAGCATATCAGCACACCGAAGCCGTGTCATACAACAATCAATTAACGCCGTGGCTAACCCTAAATATTAATACATTAATAAATCAATAACATCTCGTACACAAACAAAAATCAATAATTTCAACAAGCTACTGACCACACTGGCGGTGTCTTGACTATCTAGCGAATTCTTGTCTGTGTCCTTCCCTTGCTGGTCGTTGGAAAAATTGTCATATTTGCGAGTAGGGCTATTTCTCATTGTTAACACAACGCGAAGAAGCTTTAAGCCTCGAACGACATTTTTACTCGCCGAAAAGACAACACGAATCACCGACGAAAGATAAATTACTGACACTGACAGCTACAAACTATGACAGCAAATTGAACGAATGACGGGTATAACTGACAGCTGGTAACCGAATGAATGAATGGAGAATAGAATATGCCGAATAATTGGATACATACTCGCCATTCAAGACAAGAATTTTTTTCATGTAGTTCAGTTTACGTTGTATTGAAAGTTAAAAAATTCCATAATTCAGTCAAGAACCCTCCTCGAATATTGTTGTAGTAGTATGTAAGTTTTCTTGACATCCACTTAAATTGTACAATCTATGATCGAAATTACTATGCTGTTCCTTAATGGCTAAGCATGACATTTGAAATTATCTTATAAAATCGCGAAGCCCAAGTTTTGAATTACGACAAACAAGTTCAGGTCAAAAGCGCTAATGTGCAAAACGGTAAAAAAAACCTGAAAACAAAAAGAAAGGTAACAACCTTTCGCAATCTTTGCGCAACAGCGCTTCGGTAAGGAATTTACACTCCGCGCACTACACTACATAGTTTTACGTTAGGTAACTACTGCTCATTGTTACAACATCTGGTGGTCTCGAACTTTTTTCACAACAAAAGCAACTCGTATGAAGTACATTGACAACAGTAAATATTGGTCCCTTTGGAATGCGAAGCTGTATCCAAATATACGTAAATGAATGAACTAGTTATATTTAGCGGTAAATTTTAGTTTGCTTTGAATTTTTATATGTGACAACGTGGTTGCAGATTGAAGTGCAAAAATTGAGTAAAACAAAAATAATAAAAAAATTACTCACACTATGTTTGATATTCTCATCCCATATTTGTATTTGAGCGTAGTCTTTAGAATTACGACCATTTTTAAAACTCCGACGAAACATCTGAAAATAATTTTATCCATAGGTTCATTTATGTTACTTATGATATAAAAATAGTAATATCAGCACAATAACCATTAAAAGAAATCAAAATAACTCTTTGCACTATTCTCTTATCACGAAACGCCTACCGCGTTAAATGATTTTTATCATAGGCTTAAATTAAACAACTGAACGTAGTAATTAAATACCTGTTTTATTATATAAACTATTTATTAATAATTATTACCAATAAGTGACGTGTGCTAAGAACAAACAATTTCCGAACATATGACTATAGAACAGGATAAATTGGAAATTACTCACTAGCTTCGTCACGACAGTATTTTCTTATCAAGCGTGTCCATGTTTTAGTGTTATACAGTACTGAATTTAGATAAACCTTATCTACAGTAAGTGATTACAGTGAATAGAGCCATGCCATTACAAAAAAACGCGCGAAAATTTAATTATAAGTACAATACAATACAATACAATATGCATTATTTTGTATTGTATTGTATTGTACTTATAAGTATACGTATTATTTGTATTTAGTAGCAGCAGAGCTTCTTTCTGCTGCTGCCTCTTAGTAATGCGAGTGTTGTGAGGAAACAAGAGTTATTTAATAACAGTTTATTCAGAATTTAATCTTCCCTGTTGTTATGTAAATAAGTCTATGTAATTAACTGCCTCCGTGGCTGAACGGTTACCATGACGGACTGCCACGCAGAGGTCCCAAGTTCGATTCCCGGGCCGGGAGAAATAGTTGTATGGCCTAAAATTATTTCTCTCGTGAGTTTGTGTGTAATTTGTGGTTGTCTATGTGTGTGTCCATGGCACCCGCGACACAGGGTTTCCCTAGTGCGGGGCTATGTTGGGTGTGTGCGTAAAAAAAAAGTTAATTTGTAATATAATTAAATAAAGCGACGGTATCTTAATTAAATAGACGGACTTCCGTAAAACAAAGTTCTTCCAATTGTAATAGAGATAACCTTACTTTCAGTTTTACAAAATATGCACAAGTATACATTTTGTAGCAGTAGAGTCCCTTCTGAAAGAGTTTATTCACGCAAGCAAGTACAACCACCGCACCTGCTTCTGCCGCCAAGCGGTATAGTAAGCCTTGTTATGTTCTGGTTTTGAAGGGTCAGAGTCGTGCTAGGGAAACTACAGGAACATAAGGCTTGTCAATTATGTCTTAAATGTGACGGGTGCAGTGGCAGTGCCCCTCAGGCTTTCCATTCCGTGGCATTGTAACTGTTTTGGGTAGGTGTGTCGCTTACCACCAGGTGTCACTTTATATTCTAAAAAAGTTTACTTTTTTCACTTTTATATACTATCACTGTCAAAAATATGTGAATATCTGAATCTTTCAATTACATTACTTGATACTTAAGTAACGACAAATTGGTAATTTAGTTTTGAAATGTTTATTGGCGGTGGTAATAGTATTAACTTTTGTCATCAACATAACACAGACGAAATTAATTCTAGAAAATTCCGTCACCAACAGTGCTAAATTAGCAAAGTAATAAAAAGATAAAATAGTCTAACAGAATTTATTTAAATATTGCCTAGAAATAAACTGTACAAATAAAACAAAGTGGTTCATTTAAAGGCGTCTTGTAGGCCGAAGCCAGGGCCGGTGGGTTCTGTAGTCAGGGTGGTCAGTCCACCTAGTGGTTCTGCAGCGAAACGACCACTCCTGAAAAAAAAAATTACAATTGAAATATTTGCATATACCTGTATATCTGTAATCGTGAAGTGTGCCCAGGCGATTATTCCGTAAATATAAGAGTTATCAAAAAGTTTTAAATTGATGTCGAAAGTACGTTGCTTAATTAGTAAAACGATAGCAATAACTTTTTAATAATAAAACTAGAACTATCCAAAATTTTAACGCTAAACGCTGCCAGACATTTATTAATATGACATTCGTAGAGACAAAAAAACGTACTTACTTAAAAATGAACATGACTTTGTTTTTATTCAATTAAAAGATTAGAGAGAGAAGTTTTATTACTTTATTTATAGCAATTTTTAAAGCTTTTTGCATGTTACGATATGTTTTGACCACCATGATACCTATTCAATTATTTTTTGTGAAATTAGTCCACTAATTTGTTATAATTGTGCATACCAAGATCGAACGCTCAGAAAAAAATCCTTCAAACCAACGTCTTCCAGCAAAAGGTTACGTAGATTTCCCATAGATCTATAGACAGATTTGTATTAATATATTATTTATAGCAGTTTCGTTATCTCTAAACTTATTGTTACCTCTTAAAATAGGTCAACTAAAGCGTCTCCACGAATGTCATATTAAATGTATGTAGGCATTGAATGTTAAAATTTTGGATATCTTTAGTTTTATTTTAAAAAGTTATTAGATAACGTACTTTTGATGTCGTTTTACTCAATAGGTAACGTAATTTTTATATATTTTATAGTTACGGAATAAACGCTTAACGTTTACACCCTGTATACAACGATGGCAGTATGTTGACTACGTGGTGGGTGACAGCCGGTAGTAGCGTGTATTACTTATTAATGATGCATTTACATCGGGTCATGGCCGCCTTCGGCAGACCACTTCGCCTTATCGAAAACAAAGCAGTCAACTCGCCGTTTACACCGAGGCACGGCCGGCGGACACGTTGAAAACTTGAAGCCTGTTCAGTTGACCGTCACTTGCCGAAGGCGACCGCGTCGCCCATAGCGTTTACACCTACTCGTATTATATTCGCGCGACAAAGCGCGAGATTTCTATTTATTTTATGTTTACTTATTGGAAGGCCAACGGCTATCTTACAGAGCTAAAACTAAATATGAAATAAAGATGGAGAGCTAATTATAAGTCCTCACCAATAGACACACATTAAATTGATATTAATGAGCCTTAAATTATAACTATATGACCATTTAATATACTATGACAAATTCGTAACACTAATAAAATAAATACCTACTCGCCAAAAATCAAAATACTTATAAGACGCTTTACTGATGCAACACTAAAGTAAAAAGGTCAATATCAACCTGCTTGGATAATACGTAAAAGTTATTTCTCGCACGTAAGAGATATGCATTGCGCGGATAGTTCGAAGAGACCGGAGGTACGCACAGAAGTGAGTTAAACCTAAGGGTCGTAGTATGGGCTCTAAGAGAAATCTTGGACACGAGTTCTGGGGAATCCATGGAACCAGAAGCAATTTCACGTAAAAATACAAGATCTGAAATTTGACGTCGCATCTCCAGTGGCATAAGATGATGTTTCTTATGTATTTCCAGATAATTATTTGACTCGTACCGCTCCCTAGTTCGAAACCATAAAATTCTATGCGAGAATATGCTTTATGTCGCTTTCGCATGTCGCGCCCTGTCGTGCTCGCCCTGTTAAGGTAGTGACGTCACAGCAGCGTGACTACTCTATTAGAGGTGTTTGATTGGCGGTAATGTAATAGTCATACCATTTGAGAACTATAGAAATGGTATTCAGAATTTCAGACAGTGAAACATGTCATAATTAAAGAACTTAAACAAACCTTGGTCCAGGTTTCGGTTTCTCATCCTTCTTTAGTTTCTCGATGATTTCTTTAGTGTCCTCCACAGTGAGATCTTCCTGTAAACAAAGAGAATTTGTTTTAAATTTAATGTTTGGTTATTTCTATAACATTTAATGAATGAACGAGATATTTTTCATTCAACATTAAAAATTACAACGACAACACAGGACAGTTATGTAATTATATCACAATCAGACAACAGCCCCCGTAGCATGGCTACGCATGGTAGTCGCGACGCGCACGACAAAATTGTAATAAGCGCGCGCTATTGGCTGTCTCAATCAGATCTAATTTAGATAGCCAATAGCGCGCGCTTATTTCAATTTTATCGCGCGCGTCGCGACATACATGCGTAGCCATGCTCGGGGTCAGATGTCCCTATTGCTAAGTAGCAATTACTTCCAGGCAAAGTAACGATAGAACATATTATGGAGATGCATGTATTTTAAATGAATACTATTAGAAGACATTCTTTACTTCTTCTCCCTGCTTATTTCGCTTAGGCGCGGGTAGTAAGTATTAAGCTGCTATTAGCTCCTCAATACTTACTATCCGATTATTTTAGAATTTAATTTTTTTATACTAAAGCTTGGGCACTTTAGTTTACAAGGAAACATTTTTGAAACTTACTAAAGAAACTGGTTACTTCTAACTAGTTGACAGTCTCGTTCGAACTTTATACATTTTTTAATAGTATTTGCTAATCCCAATAAATTCAATAGTAACAAAATCTTTTATTGAGATAAATTTTTAACTTAAAGTGAAATTGTAAGACAGATATTTTTATTTTAACACGAGAACTGTGTTACAGTGTCGCAGAAATTACTGCGTGTTTGTATTTTGCCGGGCGTAACTAAATTATACTTATTTTGTTAATTTTTTTTTAATTTCATGACCTTGGATTTAATTCCTTTTACTACTATGAGTTGCCACAAATCGATTTATAGAAACTGTTTGACACGATGCCAACAGCAACATTCTTTTATCGCACCGCTCGCCACCGGCAGGGAGTCCATCCTCACACTGGCACCGAGTCGATCTCGTGCTGTACGGTTTCAGACAAGCTTCCCCCCACGTACAATTAGTTTGTGAACAATTAGGGAACGATCTCACTGTCTAGGTTTTCCCGCAGGAATACAGCATGGAGTCTTCAAAAGGGGTTTGAGAAAAGGCTCGTGACGTACTCGTGACGCCTCTGGTGTTGTAGGCGTTCTTAAGCGACTGTGACCACTTTCCATTAGGTGGGCCATATGGTTGTTTATTGCCTACTTAATATATTAATAAAAAAAAAATGTGTATTACTTACGTAATAGTCGTCATCAATTGCCATCATAGGTGCGTTTACACAAGCCCCCAGGCATTCCACCTGAAAAAATTGCAAATAGAAACATTGCATATTATTAAAGTCACAATTTAAAATTTAATATCAAGGGATAATATCATCGACATTAAGATAAACGACAATAGTTAATGTTGACCAAAAAAAAAAAAAAAATACTGTCAAAATGCAATGACGTCAATTAAAAATTACAATTACTTCGATTGAAATTCCTCTACACTGTAGAATTGATTATCCAATAAAAAGAGAGATGACTGAAAAGTCATCAGATTATTTTTTGAACTGTGCTTGCTTATTTAAAATTTCAGAATATTATATTAGAATAGTCTGAAACTGACATCTTCAGCAGTCGCTTTTCCATCAAAACAAGGAAAGATACTAAACTTATATGAAGAGGTTGTGTGGTGGAACCTTTGCCTACCCAAACAAATGTGTGAAAATTTATTTAAAGAGTCCTATAATTTACAACCTTTTCAGGGTTAGATGTTGTAGTTGTCGCTGGTTGTATAATATCTTAACAACAGGTCAAATTTTCAGTAAATAACGCGTGTCTTCCTTAACTTGACATTGGCGAAATCAACGATGGAATCAATAGAGGTATAACATTATAAAAAAGACAAATGTAATTGTGTTAATAATCTGGAAGTACTGGGAATAAATGGTTGCTTTATTTTTATTTATTCACTGACATTTTCTAAGTTTTTGAGACTCCACAAAAGCAAATCGTCAAAGAAGTTTTTTCAAAAATAAATACCTTGCGCTGCCTTAACATTAGTATTTTTTTTATCAATATTAACTAACTGCATTCTTGGAAACTTACACCGGCTCAAGCGTAGTGGCCGAGTACGTGGAAATAATAATACGTTATCACTGTTTTATTGCTCCAAAAATAATGTCACCCAGTCGAGTAAGCCAACAACTCATCAAGAGCAATTTGCTGTGTCAAAATACGATAGTTCTACTGTAGTAGTTTAAGAGTAGATAATCTTCAGACTGTCCTGTTGCATCATCAGAACTGTAATGTCATTTGCATTTTCTTAGTATACCAAATTGCAAGTCAATCAAAAGTGGAAGTAAAATAAATATTTTATGGCAAGATTGGTGAAATTACACACAAAAGCTTCAAACTTATAACTTCCCTCTTTTGGCGCCGGCGGTTAAGAATAATTAGTACAAGATAAGTAAGTATTTTAAAATACGTACCTCAGAAATGGAGAATTTTCCACAAGGACTGGTTCCCCCAACTTCGCATTTGGTAAGCTCCTTCGCCGTCTTCAAGACAGTGTCTGAACCTCGCAGCCAGCATGGTGTAGTTGTGCACACTTGGAGGTGGTATTTGCCTACAGGTCGCCTACAATTTGTAATAGCAAAGAATATTATTAATATTACTAAAATGGCTTATCAATTGATCTAATGTAGTCACAATGATTATAACCCGGGGGGGGGGATGGCTCTGAGCTCTGATGGTTTTTATCTCTTGTGCCTATAGCTTATAGTGATATATTGATATATATCACTCAGAAGAGAGTTTTCAGTACCCATTACAAGGCGAAATTGGCTTAATAGGCACAGAAATGTATCCTCTTCAAGGCAAAATCTACAGTATCCACTCTCACTGTTGATTCTACCAGAAGTGAAAGTATTACTATATAATTATCCCTAGATTCTTATCATGGTACGACCCCTTATTTTCCAGACATTTCTGTTATCATCATAACATCATAACTGTTATTCGCCATCGAACTATGTTAGGGTTAATAATAACCTTTTTCCAACTCTCACCGTCAGTGTTTTAAACCTACCTGCAGCAACTCCACATCTAACTACCACTGAAGCGCCCCTAAACAGTCACATTCAGTAGTAATCATTTAAAAGGGTTACTTTATTCGACTCGTGCATAATAGGATGGATACATTCAATGATTGGCACTCTAAGCAAAATTCGCAGTTATTTAGAATAGGAAAAAAATACTTGACATTCCACAAGATTGAACAAATTAGACCAATCTCAATATGGCAAATATATTTTAAAAATAAACTTGTGTGTAATTTCATTTTAGATTGCAATGGGTTACAGTTATCCAAACTTGTTAAACAATCAATTAACATAAAAAGTAATGTCTAGAGAAAGCAGGTGGATATTCATCCTGTAGAAAACTGGCATGATTGTATGTATAGTACATACATGAATTATGTTATATTTGTACATCAAATATATTCTTGAAACACCAGTGATTGGCACAGCCATTACAACAGCGAAGTGTTAAAACATAAACTGCTAAATCACATTTACTTTTTCCCTTTTTTATACTGCCAAATGGTAATTTTTGTACATTTCTATGAATAATTTATCCAACCTTCAAATGGATTCAAACACAATGCAACAACTCCATTCAATGAGACTAGACAAAATTACAGTTGAATAAAGTAAATTTTAACTGTCAATTAGTTATTTTCAAATGGCTCATTTCAAAGCTTTATCATAAAAACAAAATTTTTTCTTGTGCACCTGGTGGTAAGCAACACCTGTCCGTAACGGTTGCAGTGGCATTCAGAGCTTTAAATTGCATAGATCTTAGGGCCGCTGCCACTGCACCTGTTGACAAGTCTCACGTGCCAGTAATTTCACCAGATCAGCACCCTTACCCTTCCAAAACCGAACACATTACTGCTTGGCAGCAGAAATAGGTAAGGTGGCAGTACTTTCCTGGACAAACTTTTCACAAGCAGCTCTACTACAAGTAAACTACTAGCATTAAATTTTTCACTCTAAACGGTACTGTGACAATCATTGGGGTGCCAGGAATATCTTAGTTTACTTAATAAAATAATATAACGTACCTAATGAACATAGTATAGAAAGTAGCAACTTCGTAAACCCTCATGCGAGGTAAGTTTAGGATGTCGGCAACTTTGTGCATAGCCGATATGGGTAACCAGCCACCGTTCTGTCTCTGTGCTAGATCCAGCAAAGGGATCATAGCTCCACGCTTGTGGCCTTCTGGATATAAGCCCATAATGGCATCAATTCGCTGAAATTAGACAGAGGGCTCTTTTAATGATTACTTATTTTCAAAAATCAATACAAAATGCACGCTCTGAAAAAAAAATTACAATGTGCTGATGGATTATCACAATGCCGATTACAAAAACAAAACACAATTCATTGTTCGGATTTTGTATTAAATTTTGTATATAATGAAACTTCTACAACGTTTGAATGGTTAAGTAGACAAAATAAACAATGTTAATGTTGAATTACTAAAATCTGTATGTTGCTTAGCATGAGATTATTATAATGGCAAATAAAGAACATTTGTCTTAGGTATGTCAAAATACGTGGTGACTTCACATTTAGCCAAGGCTTTTTAAACTTTGCTACTATGAAGTTGGCGGTAATTTGTGATCAAATACGTAGGAAGAGTATCCATTGTCATTTGCGGTGTTGAAAATATAAATAAAGAAGGCAACTGGATTATCAATTTCAGATTGCGACAGAAGTTTAAAAAGAAAATCATAAAACAAAAGAAGGATAACCCTACCTTTAGATTCTCCGGCGTAAACTCAAATGGGGTGCTAGAGTTGTCCTCGGGGGAGTCTCGATGCACAAACAACTCGGAAGACTGCAGAGCCGAGCTGGTTTGCAGGCTCCTTGAAGAAACACGCCACTGAAAACAAATAATTTACACATAATATCGCGTCGGCCAAACATCCCACTGTCAAATCAATATTATGTAACTCTATTTTTCTCAGATATATCAAAATAAAAGTTTAAAACTTAGAAAAAATCGTACTAGGCTCTGAACTCCAGTCCTCAGGCTGGATAACATGTTTATCACCAAAATTTTTTTACAAATTTGATGAATTTATTGGGAAAACACTGTCCGCGAACTTTTGATTTGCTGTTAACTTCATGCGAGTCGGTAGAAAATGCATTGTGGAAGGCTTTTTTGTGTTTATGAACGTGTAAGTGAGACAGATGATTTAAGTTTTATAATGCGCTGTCCTTGTTAATAACATCAAACTTCGATATAGAACACAAATAATAACTGAAGTACACAAAGTTAGCTACAAAAATTGTGGCGGGAATTAATAAATTAATTGAAAAGACGTACTCTGTGCTCAAGAACAGAATTATGAAAGATTACAAAATAATAACAATTTATTTGGAGATAGAGTTGTTAAATTAACAAAATTAAGTTTACTATAGGTACAAAATTTAAGTGAAACTGTTTTATTACAATACGTTATGACTACTGGCATTAAAAAAATATAAAAAGCACTGAATTATACAATATTATAATATAATGTTTTGCAAAAAGTTACTAAAATTATTACAATTTACATGTTTTAATACTTTAATAAAATCGTTTTGGTAATTAAATCTTTATTATCAAAGTTTAGTTTAATAAAATGTAACTCTTACATAATTGGGGCACTGTTTCAAATTAAGCAACCACGTAAAAAAAACAAGAATGAAAAATGTGACGATCGGCAAAACAACGGGTGGTCGTTACGGCAACTGGTGCATTGCCGGCACCACGACACCGAGTGCCGCATTTTTAATTATATTTTCACACTTACCTACAGAAAATTTTCACTTTATCCTGCAATTCGTCTGCTTTTTATTAGAATTTCATAAGTGAAAAATGTCATAAGCCTCTATTTTCTAAATTCCAAAGCACAACTTACCTACCTACATTTGATTTTTTTCTGTTATTATTACTTTCACATTTAGGTACACCACAATAAGTATTCATAACATTGAACACGGCATCTGCTCTCCTTGTATTACCGATAGATATAGGTATTACAAGGGTTATTACCTATAACGCATTTACATTGCGGTAACTTTTTGCGACAAAACATGTCAATTAAACTGATTTTGTTTAACAATAAAATTTAAAATATATAAGATATTTAAATAAACACTTATAGAGGTTTGTAGATCTCGTTTCGATTAGTTATGATAAGAAGAGCAGCCTATCATAGCGTTTAAATTATTGATAGATTTACTAAAGACATGCCTTAAATTCCTTTTTCACTTCTCATGCTCTAAAAGTATACGTCATTAAAAAAGTACTTAATTTTTTAATTTACTTCATGTGAACAAACTCAAACAGCCAGTAGTACGCTCAGTTTTAGTTCCATGCCTTTTCCGCATAGACGGTGGCGCCAAATGTTTCATAATTTTTTTGTAGAGCGAAAACGATTGAAATATTTTTTCTCGTAATCGAAGTGAAAAGTAAAGTTTTCACCTCGACGCTGAAAGGCAATATAAACCCTTGGAGTAATAGACACCTGAGCTATTGCGAGGTAGGTTTATAGTTTATGTCGAGGGTTTAACCACCTCGGTTTTTAGTCATTTTATTTATTTATTACTATTACAAATACTTTATGGCTAGTTTACTGCCCCGATAATTGTTATTTGTTTCATGGCTTAAATATGTTTGCATGCGTGATATACAGTAAAAGCCAGCAGCAACCAGTGTTTCCGCACATAAATGAAACTCCGAAATGACACCTTACCTAAGTACCTATTGAAAATTATTGTTGATAAACTTTATAGTGTGCAGGTAATTTACGTTATATTAGCGCGGTAACACTTCGTCGTGGTACAATACAGGTTGGGAATCTCACAAGTCAGTAAAGTAAATTTTGTCAATCTTATTTATTTATTAGGTTTACCAACGTACCTTTGTACAATATTATTTATTTTATCTTATCATAATTTTACAAGCATTCTAATTGCCACAAACTGTTATAAGTAAACACAACATTCACTAAAACGTAACTAACTCTTAACTAAAGTTTAAAAAATAACACTGACAAATAACATTGTCAGTTTAATAGCAGTAGAGCTCCTTGTGAAAGAGTTCGTCCAGGGAAGTACTGACACCTTACCTATTTCTACCGCCAAGCAGTAATGTGACCATTAACTGCGTTTCGGTTTTAAAGGGTAAGTGTGCTGGTGATATTACAGGCACTTGGGACTTGTCAACTTTTGACTCGTTCGTTCTATCACTTGGTATCGTAAAAAAACTGATTAAGTAGTAAAAAAAATATGATTGGAAATGGAAACGTATGTACACTACTTTTGTGAGAGGAATTATTTGACGGAATTTAATAAATCGACTCATCCGAAGAACAGAGTCAGTTGTGATTATATAGCGAAAAGAGAATAGGTACATTACGAGAATAATTTCATTATTCAAACTAAGGCCTATGTAAAGGTGTTTTGAGAATTTATATATGTTATTTCGTATCGGAAATATAAAATCAAACAACAGTCGATCTAACATCCACAACGAAGAAGAACGAATGAAATGTACTATGTCCTGAGAACTTGTGTCTTTTGTGAACTGAGTCTTGCACATAGATCTTTGTTCTACGGATGAGTCGAAATTAAAAATTTATTTATGAGTCTTGAGAGGTGAGTCATGGTGAATAACAATATTGTCACTGTTTTTTAATTTTTTACCGCTTGCAACTGGCGAATTCGAAACATATACGATTTTGCTGGTTATCTTTTCTTTGGACTTTCAGTTATCGTAACCAAATTGAAATAGGTACTTCTTGTTCTAAAATGATCTACTGGCTACCTACTTTAATGGTGTCATCTAGTAGTTTCTATGCCACATTCCTACCGTACAATAAACACCGAAACTAGTAGATAGTACGAGCCGATATTGGCGTATCGATCGTGAATATCTACAGTGTGCTTTCTAAAAACCCAATTTCGTTGCATTGTCGTATATCGAGCACCCACTAAGCGCCGTTCTAAGGCCGCCTGTGCACGTTGTCGGTTTGGACTCACCCGGCTATAATGACAAAAGTTTGTATCAACTGAACTAAACAGAACACGTATAGTATACGATATACATTTTTCAAATGTCTTTAATTTTGTTGGTAAAAACATAAATTCTGTGTTCCTGCCGCTCTAGCTAAGCAATGAAACAGATTCAGTATGGAAAAAATTTAATTCGTGCTGAGGTACTATCGACTGTAACCCTAATCAAAGTTTGAACTTGCATTAACAGGTCCGCGTAATGATCAGTGGATATTATAAAGATGGTTTCTTAACACCATTCAGTAGTGATGCTGTGACATTAAAGGTAATGTTCCTATTTCTATAAAATATGGTTGAATAAACAAGTTAGCTACAGATAGGTGCAGTATACTGTACCGCCTGTTGGCATTAAAAAAATATGAACTAAAATATTTATAAATTCGATGAATATGTTCCAAAAATTCTTATATGCTATTCCAAAACAGTATGCCAAAAGGCATTTCTCTAGTTTATAGACTTTTGATCTGTTGGCGAAAATTTCTGAGAGAAAAGGAACATATTTTAAAGCCTCCTATAGACATAATTATAGTATAAAAGCTCCCCAATACTTATTAGTAATTAATAGACAAAATGTGTTAATCATCATTCGACAATGGATCCAGGAACCAGTGTACAGGCGTCCTAAGTCTTATCAAAACATCTGATGTCCCGTTAACTAATTTCTGGTGGCGACCGTGACCAATAGCTTCATTTTGGTGCTGCTTTTTTACCACTGGTAACTTACTACAGCGAATGGCAAAAAGTAAACGGTTTGTAAGGAAAATATACAATGGCTCACTATCCATCAATGTAAGGAAGAGGGAAGCGGTCAACAACCAATAGCATTTCATTTTGATATCCGCTATAAAAGTTGCGTGGAGACTGTAGAAATGGTGGATGCAGTGTTCGAATTTCAAAATGACAAATCCCAGACTAAATATATTTGACATTACAAATGTACCTATTACATTTGAGGACCATGATATTAGAAGCATACAGCCAAGTAAATTAACCCGTTCACCGTAAAATTAAATATCAGAATAATTATTGATAGTGCGCGATACCCCGTTTCGTTACATGGATCTGAAAAACTACTGGCTTTACAATGCGGTTTCCTTTTCGGTTATGATTGACGGACAAAATTCAATGATTTACAGTGAATATTTTATATTGAATCAATATAAACACAAAGAAAGTTAGTGACATTTTTATGTGCGGTACAGTTTAAGTACTATTCACGTACAGATAAATTTCAAAGTATGTAATTCAATGTAATATGATAACGGAAATTGAAATTGAAATTGAACAACGGCTGGTGAAATTACAGGCCCCAGGGACTTGTCAACTTATGTCTCAGGGTGACGGGCGCAGTGGCAGTGCCCCAAGATCTTTGCGGTTTTAAGCTCTGAGTGGCAATGCAACTGTTATGGATAGGCCTATCGCATACAACCAGGCGGTCGACTTCTTCGCCCCGTCATTTGGTATTATAAAAAAATAACCAAGAACACACCTATTTAGAAAAGTCCGTCTCTTAAGTTGGTTCTACCAGTAATCGAACCCGAGACTTCCTCATCTACAGCCCAATCACTTAATCGCTAATCCATCGAAGTAGTCAAAACTATCGCCACGTACCTAGAATTGCCAAAGAATAAAACAATTACTTATACCACAAGTCCTTTTATTGTATAATTAATTTTTCATTGTAGAGAGGAATTTGTTTCGAAGAAACTTGTACGGTCTTTCTGTAAAATACAAGGAAGTCTAAGAGAAATCATCTCATGTCCACACTTGTCGTCCTTTGTCCGACAGAAAGTCGGTCTGATTACGAATTTGTGTCAGTGTAGCCAGTCTGTTTTTGTGACCAGTCAGTCTGCAGGTCATCAACGCAGGCTGAACGCGACATTGCTTCCCCTAGACTTTGATTTTATCTTTATGATATAAAGCGATGGGATGAATAAGTCCTGCACCTGGGTTAAGACACGCCTATCCGTGACAGTTCTG